ATGGAATGGAATGGAATAGAATAGAATAGAATAGAATAGAATAGAATAGAATAGAATAGAATAGAATTCTTTATTGGCCAAGTGTGATTGGACACACGAGGAATTTGTCTTGGTTCAAATACTCTCAGTGTACATAAAAGAAAAGATACATTCGTCAAGAGTCCAGAAGGTGGGAGTTGAAACAGTTTATGTTTGGCATGTGAGGGGTCTGTAGATATTTTCCCAGCCCTCTTTTTGACTCATGCAGTATTCAGGTCCTCCATGGAAGGCAGGTTGGTAGCCATTGTTTTTTCTGCCGTCCCAATTCCTCTCTGGAGTCTGTGTCTGTCCTGTTGGGTTGCAGAACCAAACCAGACAGTTATAGAGGTGCAGATGACAGATGAACAGAGTTGGAAGGGGCCTTGTAGGTCATCTAGTCCAACCCCCTGCCCAAGCAGGAGACCCTACACCATTTTTGACAGGTGGGAGTCCAGTCTCTTCTTCAAAGCTTCCAGGGATGAAGCTCCCACAACCTCTGAAGATGACTTCTGTTCCATTGCTTGTCTTGTTTTGTCCAGTGCCTGCCATTTTTCTTTTGGTTGTAGTTTCGTCTGCACCTCCTTTTTCTCAATTCCTAAGCCTCCCACAGGTCGTCCTCGGCTTACGACCGCAACTGAGCCCAACATTTCCGTCGCTAAGCAAGGCAGTTGTTACGTGCCTCATGCCCCATTTTTACAACATTTTTTTGGGGGGGGGGCACCATTGTGTCGTGAATCGCTGCAGTTGTTCAGTGACTCCTACGGTCGTTAAGCGAATCTGACTTTGTCTATTGGACACTGGCCGGATACGGTGATCACCGAGATGACGGAGTGATCATACATACTGGCTGCCAAACGCTTGAAGTTTGACCACGTGGCCATGGGGACGCTGCAACGGTTGTGAGGGTAAAAAACAGTCCCATGTCACGTTTTAAGTACTGTTGTAATGTCAAATAGTCACTAAATAAATGGTTGTATATCGAGGACTGTCTTTGAAGTGTTTTTCCCTCCAGGAATTCAATCCCTGAAATCCTTAATAGTGATGCTGATGGAATGAAGAAATTTTTAAATTTTTTATGGATTTCTTTCTTTCTTTCTTTCTTTCTTTCTTTCTTTCTTTCTTTCTTTCTTTCTTTCTTTCTTTCTTTCTTTCTTTCTTTCTTTCTTTCTTTCTTTCTTTCTTTCTCCCCCCTCGCTCTCTCCCTTTTCTTATTTGTTTCTTTCCTTTCCTCCTCCTCTCCCCTCCTCCTCCTTCTTCTCCTCCTCCTCCTCCTCCTCCTCCTCC